CATGTTATGTATTTTTGATTATATTGCTTTTAGGTCACGTTTGATGTCGACGTACATGGCGTGTGGAATAAGGACTACGTCGATGATTTATTTCAGAAGATATATCGGGAATTCAAGTATGAATTGCATGATTACTTTAAGTCTTTCGAATCAGCTAAACATGCTATAGAGAACCCTCCCAAGAAGATGATGGGAAGAGACATATCACAATGGCTATGTTGATGTGCACATTTCAGTCTCCCGAGTTTATGGTATTAAATATGCAGTTTACAATTCCCTAACATATTTGTTTTAAAAGTTCAAATGTTTTGACTATACATATACATTGTATTAATATTCAGTTTACTTATTGTAGAGTGATCAAAAACTAATAAGGATAATTAATCAAAGGATATGTATGATCATCATGCTGGAGCAAAACCATTTTCATTGCGCTATCCAAAATACGTAGAAATATGTTTCATAGCAGAAGAATTGTACTTATTTAACGATTTTAATGTTTGATAGTATAAGTATATTTGATTAACGATTTTAATGACGACTATCATATTTATTTAAGTCTCGAAACCGCTTAGCCATGATTTTGTTGACATAATGATGACAATCATACTTATTTAAGTCTATGTTATCGCTGGCCTATAATTAACAATAATGAAACATTGAATATTTAACATCATACTTGGCACACTCACAGTGATCTCATCCATAATGTCATTTTCTCTTGTCTTCAGGAACGTCACTTCAATAAGCATGATCCATCGAACATTTTTTCCGAATAATTGCCCTAAGATGTGAAAGGGTCCATAAAGAGAATCGATCGAAGGAAAAGTATGACCATCATGGTGCAAAACCATTTTCATTGCTCTATCTAAAACACGTAGAAGTATGTTTGATAGCTAGAAAAAAATCTATTGCACACACAAAAATCGTGCATCAACTAAAAATAATTGTCAAATATTGAATATCGATATGTTAATGCAATGAGGTTGAGGCATGAATCTTTGGCCTTCATAACGAGGATGTTACAAAAAGTCGTATTAATGCAATATGAAGGGACAAAAGCTCATCCGAGTGTGAAGATAAAAGTTGTTGATGAAAATGAGGCAATGATTGCTTGTGAAAAATAAATTGTTGATGTTACTACTGACTTGAAAGCATGTTAATCAACCAATTTCAAGAAGAACTGCAATATGGGTGAACGATAATGAACATGCAACTTTGATGTCGACATACGTGTCGAATGGAATAAGGTGTTTTCAACTTATGTACTTTTGATTATATTGCTTTTATGTTAACTTTGATGTCAACGTACATGTCGAGTGGAATAAGGATTATGTTGAGGATTTCTTTCATAATGTTTATTGGGAATTCAAGTATGAATTGTATGGTTACTTCAAGTCTTTGGAATTAGTTCAACATGCTAAGGACAGGCTTTCTAAGGAGATGAAGAGAAGAGACAAATCAAAATGACTATATTTATGTGCATCCCGACTTCATGATATTAAATATGCAACCGCTTCCACAAAAGCTCATCCGAGTGTGAAGATAAAAGTTGCTGCTAAAAATGAGGCAGCAATGTTGCTTGTGAAAAATAAGTTGCAATCTTGGTGTTGATTTGGAAACATGTTAATCAACCAATTTTAAGAAGAACTAATATATTATATTTGCACATTACATCGCACTGTGTGCAAATGATAACGAACATAAAACTTTGATATCAACGTACATGCCAAGTGAATAAGGATTATGTTGAGGATTTATTTCAAAAGATCTATCGGGAATTCAAGTATGAATTGCATGACTACTTCAAGTCTTTTGAACCAGCTAAACACGCTAAGGAAAACCCTCCCAAGGAGATGATGGGGAGTGGAAAATCACAATGGCTATATTTATGTGCACATTTTCAGTCTCCCGAGTGTATGGTACTAAAAAACCAGTTTACAATTCTCTAACATATTTGTTTTAAAAGTTTAAATGTTTTGACTACACATATATATTGTATTAAATATTCAGTTTCCCTATTATAGAGCGATCAAAGCCCAATAAGAAGAATTGATCGAAGGATAAGTATGAGCATCATATTGGAGGCAAATCATTTCATTGCGCTATCAAAAATACATAGAAGAATGTTTGATAGTGAGAAGGTTAAATATGACAATTATGCTCAAGACTAGTTGGGGAAGGGAGGTTAGTCAAGGTTGTATGAATAACAGTTCATCATCAAGGGTGCTTGATTTCAAAGGTATAGAAGTGGTGGTATTAGAGGATAAGGTTCACAAAAGTGAAGTCAAGACAAGGGATGATGGAGAGAATGTTGTTGGGTCGGAGGGAACCAAAAAGATGCTTCTTACCAAGGTGGTCATCGATGGGACTCCAATGTGGGTGGAGCTTGACATAAAGGTTAAAGAAGACGGGTATCAACAACAAACTCATAAAGGGGTTCTACTTGAGGTGGAGCCTTCATCACAAGCAAGGTCTGAGCCTAAGGTATCTATTAAATCATCCCCAAGTTTTGGATGGATGGACAAAGGAGATTCAACTACGTTTCGGAGTGCTTTGGGAAGTATGAAGAGGGAAAGTTGGATGGGTGTTTGATGAAAAGAAAGACGTTAGTTCATAAATCCAAGAGCAAAGTTGGTGGCTACGTGGGGATTTATAGAACAAGGGTTGGTATGCAATTTGCATACCAAGGCGTGTCAAGAATTCAAGGTTCTAAGAAGATGAGAAGCAAGGAGCTCGACATAGAGGATCTCTTTTCTACACAGGAGGTTTAGGTGGCCCAAGTATAGCATTGGGTGGAGCACCTCCTCACCTGAGGTACGTTGATGCAAAAGGTTTCTTGCCATTGTGCAGCTCTTGGGAATTACTAGAACGGTTTCCAAGAGGTTGAAGAGGTTATAAGGATCAACTATTGTTCATAGGTGATTGATGGTTCGCCTAGGTGAAGATTGCTGAAGTTTTGGCTCATCATGATGTGGGAGGAGGAAGAGGAACCAAGGGCCGCAAGGATGAAGCAGCAAGGAAGGAGAAGAAGTAGCAAAGAGGCAACAACACAGCAGGAGACTGGTTGCTTTTGGCTGATGCTCAAAATTGGCGTCTCTATCTTCAGCTATTATGAGAGCTAAGGGGGTTCAAGATTTTAACCAAAGTTGTTCTTACATACTAGTGAATTTCTCGGTTGGATTGCCAAGAGGACGTAAGCACGAGGCCAAACCTTTATAAATCTTTGTGTTCTTGTGTGTTTGTTTTCTCTCTTCAACGTGCATGTGTTTTATTCTCAAATGGGTTTATATGTGTGTTGTCATATAGTCCATCAACGACAATATCTTGTAGTGTTTTCGCACAACAAACAGAATACTCGTTACTATGATCTTTGTATTGTCTCCTTGATCTAGGAATGAAGTATTTGAAAGCAGAAGATTGAAGAGTCAGAAATTCATAAAGAAAAAAATCTTTACTTTTTATCGTCCAACGAACAATTAATGCTAGTTTATGACACAATTCTAAAGAAATATTTTTCTAATCATGTCAAAAGTTTTCTGGCTCTATCTTTTTTCTAATCATGTAACTGTTGGAAGATTTCTTTCTTTCTTTTTTTTTGTTGGTGGCTTTTTTTTTTCTTTCAAACTTTGTTTTAAATAGCAAGATGATTCCATAACTAGTTCTGATGAAGCCATTCTTATGTAAATATCTTGCCCATTTATATTGGAATATCTTATATCAATCATATCGCTGAACCACAACAAGCACCCCCTTCCTCCATCTCAGATATCCAAAACCAAATTTGCAAAAGCGATGCAGGAGCAGTTGTTCATGCACATCGTCTCGCATTCTTTGAGGTTCATACTTGTGTTATATTAGGATTGTTCTATACTTTGCAATTTTACCCCAAAGTACTTCTTAAAGATGTCTCCAGTGCAATTCAGTTGAGTCTTTCTCACACAGCTATATGACCAATCCACCAAGTCCCAGTTTTGTTGAAAGTCGGGTATAAATCCTTTCAAGCAGCTACATACTGGGGACTTGGTTTCCATCACTCCCAATGTAGCTCAGCCCAAATCCATCTTGAGTTAACGCCAGCCTGATAAGGGTTGAGCTGTTGAGAAGCTTATAACCATAATATACTTCATCATCATTATCCAACACAAATGATATGTGTACGAATGGTTTGGATTTAAATTATGCATCCCACTAAATTGGATTCCATTCCATGGTGCAGTCCGATATTTTATAACAAAACCCTCCCTCAGAATTAATTCATGGTATCCATCAGGACCAAGTTGATCTGTATAATTTCCTTGAGAAGGATCCTAGGGCTTTTCCAGGGTGTAAGATGCCATTTAAAACTTGTGATTTTGTTCCTAAGAGCATCCACAATGATGGTCTCTATTTCTTAGCTAAAATTTAGCTAAAAATATAAGAAAGATATTTTATGAGCTCTCTAAAAAAATTCAACTCCAACCATACTCCCTAATTTGGAGAGTCATAAATGTTATTACTCTTTTTTGATTGGTCCATCTCTATTAAAAAATAAAACGAAAAATAGTTAGCATTAAATAAAAGTTTGAAATACTCATTAAATAAAAGTAAATTTAGGTTTTAGCCAAAAAAAAAATTTCACTTTTGGAAAAAGCCAAAACTTTTTCAAAAAAGACAGAAAAACCTCTCAACTTTCAAATTAAAGACATACAAATGTAAAGAATTCCTTAGGAAATCCAAAAATAAATCAGGGCAATTTTGTCCATTTTGGCTTCTTTTACAAATTTTCTCTCTCCTTTGTGTTTTTCCAAAGTCTCCCTTAAATAAAGCAGCATTAAATTATAGGGAGCCACTAAGAATCATTTCTCTCTCCTCAAATTTAGGATCTCCTAGAGAACTCCCTATTTTAGGAGGTTGATAGGGAGTATGGTTAGAGTTGCATTTTTACAATTCATCTTTAAAATTTGTCTAAGGAGGTGATTTAGAGAGCCCATTGTAAATGCTGTAACAAGCTTCATACCTGGTATTAATGCATCACCTGGGTAATCAAACTCTTCTATAAAATATTATCACAGTAATTATGACCATTGTCATCTATCACAACAAGATTCCAGAATCCAAAAGCTGTGCCATTGGATTATGTGCAGAACTTGATGTGTTGGAAGACCAAACTGTAGTGTTCTTATGGTCAACAAGGCCAAGAATTCCAGGGCTGCGCACCTTGAGTACACCTAATGAACCAGTGAAGGGTGTGTTTCTGTTGGCAATCCATACATTGGTGGTAACCGATATCTTCTTGTACAATATGGCCACATACCAGTTTTTTGAAGCACCAAGACTGAAAAATTCAAGCTCAAAAGTTCTGCCAATTGAGACTAGGAAAGATGGAAGGTCAAATACATCTACAATTTTTTTATTTTATTTTTCCCTATTAAGACTTTCATGATTAAGGAGGGCCTCCATATGTTGGCCACTTCTAGATCTAACAATGTAGTTTACTTGAGTTAATTGCCTAGCGTTGAGTCCTTACTGCAATTATCAAGTTTGAATTTTGATTGGTAATATGAATATGATTGTGCAAAGGGGAACATAGTTCATGCGAGACTTTCATAAGGCACATGAAAAGGAATTAAGAGCTAGAAAATTTTACACAAAAGACCCCTCCTTTTTAATCTCTTTTAATGTTTATACATATGGTATATGAAAATTTTATGTTAGTCTCGTCCAAATAATCAAACAGGGATACAGGAAAATGCATGGGAAACAATTTAGTGCAAGTTCCTCACGTTGCCCCATGTAAATGCGATTCCTTTTCTCTACTGACATGCTTGCATATTTTATCATTGCTCAATCTTTCATTGGAATGGTCTCTCGGAAATTCCACAGCCACAAACGTTAGAGCTGAAGCTGGAATACCATGCAATCATCGGGATGCTACCTCTGAACCTTGCTTCATTGAGATGCCGGAGAGCAGCAAAGGATTTTCATTGATTTTGCCCGCTTCAGATGTGTCCTCTCACTGGTAACAGACACACTGCGAATCTAAACCTCAATACATGTGCTTTCTAACTCAGCAATTCTATGTAAAGATGCTTGTTCAATGCAAGCACGGCGCTTACACTCTTCTTCAAGCAAACCTGTCATTCGGTATCTGAGCTCAGCCATTTCTTGAGCTAGATCCTTTGCTTCTTCCTTTGCCTTCAACTTTTCCTCTTTCAGTTCTTCCTAACAACCATAAGTAATGTAACATTTAGAAGATATAATCAACTTAACAAAACCTCAAAACTCTGAAAGACAATAACCTTAATTACAAAATAAACTTAACCACTCGCAATACAACAATAAGCACTCTTGCTCTTGCAAGAGGCCAGAACTCATACATAACACTTCACATCCCACAGACCACTAGCCTAACTACACCCACATGCCCCACATTCTCTTAACACAGAGACAGTAGATGTAAGCTCTACAGACTTCATGACTGGGAGACAATTCAAACTTATCCATAATCAAATAAGTAATAAATTGGTTGAGAACCCCTACAGGTGAGTGAGTGAGCGAGGGAGGGCTAGCAGCTAAGTGAGATACTGGTGGTGCCCCTGTTAACACCCACATTGGCAAATACGGTATGCAAAGAAAATATAAACATTATCCTGATCAACCCCAAGCTTTGGGATTGTGATTCTTTCAACACGTCTTTTTATTTCTTTAGCAGCATACAAATCAAGTATTTTTTTAAGTAAATAAACATATAAATAAGGCAGTAATTGGGAATGAAATTTAACAACTTCCACAAGGTAACAAGATGGCAACAGCAAGTCAAATAAATATTATTAAACCAAAATTCCGTGAGAAGTATGCTCTAGTTTAAAAACAAGCAGTAAAACCAAACAAATCAAGACTCCAACAAATACAACGGAAGGGGAATGTATTGGCACAACTATCTCAAGATGCTTGTTATGACATAATTCACTGTCAATTCTTACGTATATAGCTAATCCATTACCAATATATATTTTGTGTCACACAATATCCTGTTTGGCTAAAGGTTAGTCAGCTTGGAAGGTTGTTGGCTGACATGTCATTATGGTTAGACTGTTAGTGTAATCCATGTGATTTCTGCGGTAGTATAAAGTCTGTAATCCCATGTGTATTGGTTTCATTCAATTCATTCAATGAGAAATACAGAAATCAAAAGGAAATATTTCTTCTAAATTCCTCCCTATGAATATTCTAGAACTTTGTGTCTTCTTCCTTCAACTCTGTTAGCATATCCAAGCAAATCTTCTCTCTTCTGTTCCAAACAAGCCATCTTCAAAAATAGACCGAAAAAATACAAGGATACAAAAATCACACCTCTCTACATTTGTCCCAATTTGTAGGAGTCCTCAACATCAAATGAGCTGTGCTATTGCTGTTGGTGCTGCTTGAAAATTGTGCAAAAGTAAGCTATACAACTCCACCAATAAAGATCTTTGAGCCATAATGAAGATCTTTGAGCCAAATTCAGGTTTCAAGAAGCGGTTATTTGTTGACAGGCTCTGATTGCTACTCCAACTTCTGCCCGTTTCTTCACCATAGCAGCATGCTTCTGACCAGCAAGATGAGAACTGAAAACTGTCTGACTATTACACACCACATTACATACAGTACACGTTCTAACCGCACCAGCTGCTGCTCCTCCTGATATGATCTTTCGCTTCTTTGTCTCCAAATCCTCCTCTGGCTGGGAACCCTTGGCTACTGGGTTTTCCATTGGTCCAATTATTGCATTTGTTGCAGCTGATGGAACATTTGAGGTTGAGGCACTGCCATCATTCTTTAACTTTTCAAGTTGCTCCAAGTTCTTCTTATGTTTCTTTCCAACTAGGTGTTTGATGTAGGTGTCATTGCTGTTACAATTGACTTTACAAACTTCACACCATGCAGACTGAACAAGTTTGATTTTATTTGGATCTTTACTCCAAATGCCAGTAACTTCAGATTGAACTGCACCAAAATATGGGCCAACATTTGGAGCCACTAAACTAGCCTACATAATGGAAATAGTAAAAGTAAGTAATATATTAATAATAAAAAAAAGTAAAAAAAAATCACAAAATAAGATAAATAAGGCCCCCTTGAAGGACACATATAAGAAAACATTGAGAATCCAAATAATAACATAAAGAATGCAAGATCCTCTAGATGACTCACACGATACAAGCAAGTGTATCCATAATCACTCATAAAGACTTGAGGCAAAAGTGACAGAAGAATCTTAAAAGGAAAGCTAGTTAAATTGTTATTTACCTGAGCCTTGTGCCTTTTACCAGCCAGGTGCTTAATGTAAACTTCTTGGCTATTGCAAACAACGTTGCATATTGTGCAAACCACCATGGAATCCACCGCTGCACCACCATTCACAATCTTACGTCTCTTTGTTTCCAATTCTGCACCAGCAGCCACACCTGAACCCCCAAATATCACTTGCCCACCTACACTGCTTGTTTGGCTTGGCAGACTGATATTGTTCAGAACATTAGAGGCTGTGGCAGTGGGATTATATTGCATTCTGATTTTTTTCTGGTGTTTCTTTCCCAATATGTGTGCCTCGTAATTTTCTTTGCTACTACAACTGATATTACAAACATCACACCGATTTGTCCCATTGCTATTCCACAAAGAATTTGAAGTGGTGGGCACTAACAAACTCTCATTCAGAGACTTGATAGACTGCCAACAATAAAAAATGGTTTTCAATGTGACTTTATATATTGTAATCGTACATATACTAAACAATGCAAGCATATGGGAAAACTTATGAATGTCTGAATTAGACATGAAACATACTATGAACATGCATCATAAGAGTATTAGGATACACAGTCCACGAGTGGATGCACACATAATACACTTAAATGACCTAAACTAAACTGAGTAATGCGAAAATGGAGCAATGATTTTGAAAAGAAGACATCCAATCTAATTTTCCACTACTACAGCACCACTCGATACACCACATAAACACATCAAAACCCATAGAATAGGATCACAAAACAAATACATCACAACCCATTTAGGGAAAAGAGCCCAAGAGTTATATTATGCACCAAAAAACCGAACTTGAATTGAAGAAAGGCACTTACAGCTTCGTGTCCAATGGGTTCAGCTTGTTGGATAGCCCCATTCTGAGAACCAGCATTTGGGTCTTCACCAAATGGCGTTTGAGCATGGAATACAACGTGGGTCCACGAGTATGAGCCTGAATTGGCATTTGGTTCAGTTCCAGGCTGGCGAAGGGCTGGATCGAAGGCTACTGCAGAGGGAACCACTGGTGGAGGAAACAACCAACGTTGGTTACTGTTAGGGTTTATGGTGTTGGATTGATAAGGAATGTGATAGGTGAAATTGGTGGAATCTTGTGAAGGATTGAACATTTGGGAGTGTGACTTTGTAGTGAAGTTGGAATTAGGATTAGTGTATGATGGGATTGTAGCGTGGTTCGTTGAAGAAGGTGTTGGGTTTGCACGCATGGTATCTGGTGCTCTGGAAATGTAGGGAGTGAAGTTGGAATTAGGGTTAGTGTATGACGGGATTGTAGTGTGGTTCGTTGGAGAAAGTGTTGGGTTTGCAGTAATAGTATCTGGTGCTTTGGAAATGTAGGGAATGGGGGTTTGGGTTGGAAAAACCCTTTCAACAATAGTTTGGGCTACTACTTCAAAGTTCAATCATTTGGGCTATAATTTGGAAAACCTTTTCAATAACAATTTGGGCTACGAGTTCAAACTTCAATAATTTAGATGTAAATTTTGAGGGACCAAGATTTTCCAATCAAAAGCCAAGTTTCTTAGATGTAAATTTCATATTTGTTCTAGTTTTTGTGGTTGATAATTTGTGTATAATTTATTAATATAATTATTTTTTTCTCTATTAAAAAAAAGGTTATAAATTTCACTATCTTTTAAATACTTTAAAACATGGTTCCACTCAGTATTATGGCACATTATTATTCTTGTTTTGAGTTCCATGTTCCTTCCTCCTACATATATGAATATCTACAAACATTGCTAAGTTTCCTTAGTGTTCATATTTCAGAGAAAAATTCCCCTTGGCATGAGTATCATATCAATTTATCAAATGAGCTCATCAGCCCTGGCCCACATCTAATCCAAAATCCTAAGACCCAGTTGACTTTGTATTAAAGTTGACTCCATTGCTGACCAAGACAAAAGCTTTTTTCTTGCTTGGATCTGAGAAAGGCCACTAATCTGATGAGTGATGACTTATTTCTTACATCTAATAGGACTGTTGGGACAAAGAGGTGTTGACAGGTGGAGAGACGATGGCAATAACACATTCTTCCAACTTCAATTTAAAAACTTCATTAACACAAATATGAAATGAGACTCAATACCCTTTTGTCACTTAAGAGCCTGAACAATATGCAAAGCTTTCTATCATTCTATTCTATGTACAAGCACTCACCACCCACTGCCATCTACCACAGCAAGTGAAAGCCAAAGTGAAACAACCACTCCTGACTTCTCCATGCTCTTGTCAAACAAAAGCACTTAAATCAAAAGCTGCCCAAATATATAAATGTATAGCTCTATCAGAGGTAACCAAAAAATCTCATGCGTAGTGTGTGTGTTTAGTATGTTATCATTCATTTCAATTAAAAAAGACATTCTCCAAAAAAAAAAATATCATGTTTAAAAGACCAAATTGATTATTGGGGAAAAAATATTCCTTGCTTTAGCAGCCTTTCCCACCTAAAATAAAACCTATTTGCAGTTAATTTGAGGGCAGCAGAGTTCGCGTGCTGAAGTGACTTTATACTTGCATATAGACACTTGTAAGTTGGAGTGGTCCAAATTTAAAAAAAGATGAATTATATTCTAGTGAGCATAGTAGTTAGAGTAGAGAAATATAAGCATCACTTAACATACTAAGTTTGAGAAAGAAGTGAGATTGGTTGTCATGTTTAATGGTAGGTGACTAAACAACCACCTTCACCTTCAGCTAGCTCACATGCCATCTTTGTGCACATTATAAATTTTTATTTTTTTTATTTTTTTATCTCTTCATGACTTCATATAGCATCCCAATTTTTCAACACCTCACTCATTTCTCTTTGATGCCATTAAAAAATAATAATTACTTTCCTATATATAAAAAAAGGTACAATTCTTATAAGAGAATATGAAATTCAATTACAGTATTGAAGTTTCAAAAGGAAATGAGATTTATATGGTATACTGTAACAAAAGATGGAAATGGTAATTGAGAATTTGTTGGAAACTGGCAATGAGCAGCAATGCCTCAGCAAACTCTAAAATCTGTAAAGAATTAATGAATTAATGTCCAGAAATATGTATCTGTACACTTTGAATCTTTATTGGATTGGAAACCAGCATGGGAAGGACTTATAGAGGAAACTCAGTTGGAGATGAGGCCTACAAGGGCCTCATGCTTATGGCTGCTTCCAACCCACCATGGCTTAAAGGCAGCAGCATGGCTGCTGCTGCTCTCTTCTTCAACAGGAGCAGGGAGATTGAGATCAAGAAAGTCCCTGACTTCAGGTGCTGCAGGTTTCTGAATTACAATGGTTTGGCTGTTTTTATTCTCAGCTGAACCACCAATCAAATGGGATCTCTTGTGACCACCCAAGGCTTGGCCTGAGGGGAAAACTTTTAGACAAATTGGACAAGCATGACCTTTATTCTCTGTACTAATCTCAGCTTTAACATCATGCTTAATGGGGTTTTCATTCTTGCAAGACTTGCTGAGCTTACTGTCTGATGTTGGCTCAGGAGAGAGGTCTGTTTCAATGGTGTTTTCACTGCTTTCAACTTTTGAGGCAAAGCATCCTTTGATCTTTTTATGACTTGCTCTATGGCCTCCTAGAGCTTGGTATGACCTAAAAACCTTGTTGCAAGTAGTGCACTCAAATTTGCTTCTCTTTTGTGAACTCTTGCAGACTGCTTCAGAATCTAAAACATCACCTCTAGTTGTGCTCAATGTTTTCAGAGATTGCTCTGACCTTGACTCAAAATCATAACTCTCCTGGAATTTTCTCTTGCTTGAATTGCACTTGTTGTTTGAACCCAATTGAGGTTGAGCTAACTCCATTTTTTCGTCCAATTTATCATTTTTGGAAAACCCAACAGCAGAAAGAAGTTCTTCTTTTTTCATCCTAGACCCATGTTTTGAAAAATCAGAATCCAAATTTCCAAGCTCCAATGTCTTTTTATTAAGTTTCTTCTTCAGTTTCAAAATCTCAATACCACTGCAGACAGAAACCTTACCCTTAATATCAGCATTAACCTGATTTGTTCGACCTGATGAAGGAGCTTCAGAGAACACAGAATTGTTATCAGAGGAGTCATGTGCTATAAATTTCAAGCCACCCCAGTGACCCGCATCCCTTTTAAGCATCATTAAACACAGAGCAACCTCTTCTTGTTCTTGCTCAATCTCAGAAACAGAGGAAGTGGCAGCATTAGCAATAGAGAAATTGGAAGAGGAGGTTGTTGTGCCCATGTACCTTGTTCTTCTTCGTCTCGATCTTCTTCTCCTGTTGGGAGTAGTAGTTTCGTTGTCAGATTGGTTGTCCATGACTAGCTTCTGGTTGGCACAAGTCCAAGAATCTTCTTCTTCTTCCTCATCAAAGCTATTGATGGAATTAACAACTCTTTCTTTCTCTGAGTGGCACTTCATGTGACCAAACAGAGCTTTCCAAGAGTGAAACCCCTTACCACATTCTCTGCAAAACTTGTCAGGGAGAAGTGAAGTATCCTCACTTGAATCTGCAAGCCTCCAAGTCTTCTTGGGGTTCTCTCTGAGGCCATAACCTGGCTGATGATGAGGTCCGGTTTCAAAATCAGAATTAACATCGTTGGCTGATGGGAGTTTAACTTTGCCGATTATGAGTTTTTCCTCTGTTCCTGCCGAATTATTGGTCAAGTGAGACCTCATGTGACCTCCCAAGGATCTACCACAGGGAAAGCTCTTGCAGCAGAACTTGCATAGATGCTTGAATTGTTGATCTTCCAATTCCATTGGTTGGAATCAAAATTCTTCCTATAAAGGAAACAGTAAAGATCGGCCAAGCTAAGGAGGCTTCAAATCTGATCAAAGAAGTTTACCAAATTCTGAGATGCTTGATCTCATTACACTAAAAAAGAACAAATGCTAATGAACAGAGTACCTCGAAAGAGAAATGACAGAACCCAGATCAGAAAATCAAGGCGAAAGCTCAAACTAGGAGTGAAATTTGCATCAGATCAAGGTCGATGCTGTTGCTCTTTGAGCTAACCAACAAAGAAGAAGAAATCCCAGATTTCAGAGTTATGTTAGCATGAAAAAAGATCTGACAGTGAAATATGTAGTAGCTTTTACTCTTCCAGAGAATTAGTAGCTCTGCTCTGCTCTTCTCTGTTTCTGTTATGTTCTGTTCTGTTCTTGGGTAGTTGAAAATTGAAAAAAATATACAGAATTTGAAGAGGGTGAGGTGTGAGGTGGTGTTGGCTTGGCTTTGTTGGTAATGATGGCGATGAACAGGCCAAAGAAGAAATTAAAAGTGAGAGTGAGTGAGCGAGCGTTTGTTTCTCTCTCTCTCACACACTATTTTCTCTCCCTGTGAACTTGACTATATTTGGAGGAGAAATCCATGCATGGAAGCAAAGATAAAAAAGTGAGAGAGAGGTAAAGGAGAGGAAAGATAGCAGCACGTGTACTCAACTGAGGATCCTACGCCAACCAATCCAACGGCCAAGATTTGTCCAGCTGAGCATCCCTATGCCTCAGGAACCTACTTAAACTAACTCCCTCTCCTCCTTAACTATTCCTTCCTTTGTCTTGCTATTAAGAAATTGGGCCCCACACACATACACACACACTCTCTCTAAACTCTCGCCCAAGTGAATGGTTCCACTCTCTGGCCGTTATTCTTTTGGACTATCTCTTCTTTTTCTTTTTTCCTTCTTCTCATCAATTGATTATTATGAAAGTGCTTTTATTAATTTTCAAGATTTTTCATGGTGTGTCCCACAGATTAATCCCTCTATCCAGTTCCTTGAGTTTCAACCAAAGCATTTAGCACAGTATTCAACACTCTACCACTGTTGTTTTATGTTATTTGTGTGTGATCAGTACAGTATATAGTTATAAACCCTTCATTTTATATTCATAATTATCCTTCAAAACCAACTTTGATGTGCTTTATTGGTAAGTGATCACACTCTCTACATGAACATGAGAATGAGATGCTACAGTAGCCCAGAAAGCTGCAATATTATAGTAGAGCTAAAGCTTGGAATATTTGTATGCATCACTGAAACTACTGATTATCTCCACAATTTACTTTAATCCTTAAACAATTAAAATCCAACTTTACCCCAAGAGCCAAAATGATCAAATCATTAACCTTAACCTCCATGGCTGGAACTTTTCCTTTTTTTTTATAGGTAACCTTTGAAATATGTATGAAAAAAGCAGCAGATTTTGGTAACCATGATCTCTCTGATAAGGTAATTAATTTTGATTATATTTTCACCATGCCTTGTACAAACCAGCACACTTTCTATATATGCAAACCATATCAGATTTCTTTCTTTTGGAAGCTATCTCTTAAAACAATGAAAAACCAAATAACAGTCCCGCTCACCTACGGACCATTATGAAATGCAAGGAAGCCTTCAAGTATTAATTCAATCCCTTTGTGCCCAGGAAGGGTTTTAAGGCAGCAATATTTTCATATATAGAAGTTGAAGTTACTCTGATATATAATTATATTGATCTGGAAATAATATATACAGGGAAGATAATATAATTTCTATCCAGATCTTAAATACATGCATGTATTCAATTTTCAACAATATCTAACAAAAAGGCAAAACTAACTTTAAAGAATGGGGTAGCTAGAATCTTACTGTATATATCAGTACAAATATAGTTCATCCCTTTTCTGAATCTTGATTTAAGTGGATTTGCATGTCCTACTCACAACCCACTTCAACAAAATATATAACATTATACATATATATATATATATAGAGGTCAAATAACCTATACAGTTCTGTACATGAGAAGAACAATTCAACATATATATCAGAAAATTTAAAATGATCACTAACTTATAGTATAAAGGGTCTAATGAAATTAACAGAAGTAGTTGGGGCCAAAGTTTTGGTGGTTAATTTATAAAAGGTGTTGATTTGTTTAGGATTAATTCCTAACCCAATGATACAAGCAAGTTAATTCTATAAAGAATTAGTACATGCTGCATGTCTAGAGTTGTGGGTGCAGCAGCCATACAAAGAAAGTCAGAAAATTGGGCAGAAGCATGGCCCAAACGAGTGAGGGTGCTGCTGGCCGGCCTTTATAGATGATGATGGAGGAGCCGGCTTTCATTGCTCTAATCGTAGTGTTAATGTCTTATTAGCAGCCACTAATCACACTTATTTGGCTGCATAATTCCCTTCCTTTGTCCCCTTTTTGCCGGCTTCTTTAATTAGTACAATGTTTAGCTGTAACACCTCTGTACTTGCATTTCTTTTTTTCTCTTCTTTTGTTGTCTATTTTTTAATGGATCCACGAGATGTGCACATACTATTATGTCTACTGGTCCATCAGCAGATTCAATTATAGTGTTTCTTTTATGTTTGTACGCGTGTACGTATAATGTACACGCATTCCATTCGGGAACATACATACGTATAAATACGTACGTGAGAGATATGAATGGTAGCCCACAGAAGACTTCGCTTGAGAGTCAAGAGAGATGGCCCTCCAAAAGTGATGCTCAAAATTGACTAGTAGACTCCTTCAAATGAAAGAATGGCCACAGGCCACTCCTTGTTTTCTGCCATGCCTTGTAACATGTACAAGACTTGAGATAAGATGCCCACTTTGGCTTTATGCTTTCTCAAGCTTCCATCCCCATTCCTCACCATCCAACACCAAACCATCATGGCAGAGAAGAGAACACATATTTTCTGTTACTTTCATTTTTGGACACCCTTCCCACTTGTTCTATTCTATATATGTGCAGATTCTACTTGTTAATGAATATATTAGTCAATTTTTTGTGTGTAATTACCTTAATTTGAACTAATTATGAAGTTTAATTTGGTCCCAAACCAGCAACTAGCTAGGTGGGTTTATAAATACTTTATAAATACTTCCGGTCTACCTTACCTGCTAAATTAAACATGACATCTTGTTCTTGTGGCTATGTGCTTGGAAGATTCAGTAATGACTTTTTGATGTGTTAGGATAGAGAGCTGAAAAAAGTGAAGGTGGACTTGTATATTGATCAGAAAGCAATTGTTTTTTTTTTGTAAATTTCTGGCAGCCACACCAGTTGACACCAGTTGTTGAACTGCCCACTTTGCTAACATATCTCCACTCCACCACAGAGATAATTTGAGAAATATTTGTACTTGGATCTAAAGCAGCTGTTTTTAGTATTTTTGGGCTCAGTTGAACTCAAACTTGCTGCAAATTTTTCAAAATAAAACAAACTGATCACAAGCACAACGATTGGTGAATAATCACATCAACCAAATATTGAATCACACACTCGTTGACCAGAGCACACATCAGTAAAATGTTGGTAATTGGTTAAGAGAGATGCCAACCATTGACCATTAAACCTGCACCTAATTTTTAAGCAGACATCATTTGTTTTGTTTCGTGCTTGATCATTCTGGTTTCATTACAAGCGCAACATTAATTAGTTTGTATATCCACGCATTTTATTCGAAATTAATCTCTCGACTCCCACTCACGTCACGTTTATGTCAACAAGAACATGATTTTTTTATTTTTCTCTTAATAAACTATTAATTTACGCATTTGTCTCCTTGAAAATGAATTTTTTTTTTTTTTTTTGGAAACATTTTCTTAAATGGCTACAATGACCTTTTTTTCTCTATCTAGTGGTGAGGAGGAAATAAAATAAGTTGGTTGAAAGGTGTAATGGAGATCATAGCCATGTTGCTTCGATCTTTCACGGCATGAAGCAAACATGTGACAACACAACATTTACATTGATTTGTCAGTTGGGCTTGGCCGACACCAATTTGAAACCAATGATCAAATAATATAAAATCATGAAAAAGTTGCACGGATTATAAGCATATTAAGCTTTAATTGAATCATAAGCTAATATGTATGTATAGTCTTGGCAGTTGGGGCATTTTTACTCGAATGCTATTACTATTAGCTTCACAGTGAGAAAAATGAACTCAAATTGAGTGGACCCAAGAAAGAAAAAAATGAAAAAGTATCTTCAATCTCAATCACACTACTTTTACCTTTGAAAAAAGTAAATTATTTGCTAATATTTGTTTGATGCCAAAATTTCCTTTCCTTTTTATTTATTTTATGTAAAAATGGTCCAATCATAAAGATACATGTGTTTCTTCAGGAGTAATAATGGTGCATGTGTTAGCGAGCAAGCACTCACCAGCAAACAAGGCTTAGGGGATACTCAAAAGAGTCAATGAACTTCAAAAAATAAAACAATATTGTATAGAAAATAAAATATCATCATGTGGGGCCCTCCTTACCTAGACAGCCTTTTGGTTGGAAGAGGATGGTTTGGCTTAGGGTTAGCATTCCCCTAGGCTACCACTAGCTCTATTATATGATATGAGTCTCTTAAACTTGTTTATTTGTTGCCTTTCAGCTCAGTGAGAAAGTGCAGTGCATATTTCTTTATCCCAAGCCAAGTGGATGGTGGAATCAAAGATTAGCTCATATAATAAGACATAAAAGCTTTGCTTCTCTTACCTTTCAACATAATTGCAAAACCATTGAGCACCCAAAGTCCCCTACCAAAATTAATCAGGATTCAAGGCATAATTATTCATTCTGTTTCACTTATCTAGGGGATGATGGATATGAATTAGGCAGATATCAAAGTGAAGAATGAGGGATAAAATCCTCAGTAAAAAAATTTCATTTGAAAAATCATTCAAAATTACATTGCGGTATCTTCGTACGAAGATGACCGTTGCGCTTACAATATATGTATATTTTCAGCAGAACCCTACAAAGATGACAACTCTGGATCTCTTTAGGAAGAAGGTATGAAGGGAATTTTCCATTTCCACACTAGCCAATGAAAAAGAGACCTAGCAGCAAATCACCTTCTAATACACTATTTTACAGGGACGGCGAGCTTCCATCTCCCAACAAATCAGATGTACACAAGGAAAACTCAACTCCTCTAAAAAAAAATTCGGAGGAAAAACCTCTGGGCGGACCACCGGATATGAACACCTCAATGCTGCTTTTCCAAAACCACCTTGATAAAGGACAAGCAACTCTACCCCAAGTTTTTACCACCTCTTCAATCATGTTGCAAGTTGGCAAGAAGTCAACCTTATTCTCAGGGAAAGTCATATATCCAGCATCCCAGATTTTCGTATCACAAGGCTCCAAGACATATTCATGGTCACCTCGATTGCTAGATCCATTGAAACCACCCGACCAATGATTCCCCTCCTCAGACTTCAGCTGATTCTCTTGTGAAGCAGCCGCTGCATCAAAGGACGTGCATGAATCATCTTGGACTTCTTGATCCCCCTTTTCATCCCAAGAAATCTTATCCTGAAGCTGAGCTATAGGACAGGTACTGCAGTTGTCAACCAGCCCATAGCATCTATCTAAAATTTGCTTGGTTCCCCCACCAAACATATCCACATTGACATTATCATCACAAGTATCATCCACAACTTCCTCATCGTACTCTTGCAAATTATCCTTCCAACTTTGATAATAACGAGGAACATTTCGACATATGGGAGACTCAACCACTGAGTCCTCATCCTCTGTAACTGCTAGTTGATTGTCACCATAATCATTACTGCCCTGCCATTCATCATTGTCACTATCGACATTTATTGGGTCATACCTGTTCTGCCCAGCCCTTTTCACAAGCATAAAGACATTGAAATAGTAACTGACAATCTCCCTTTTTGTCTGGGAGGGAAAGACGGTTGAAAGATTGTCCCAGAAATTCTTGCCCAACGATGCTGGATTTGAGAAGACAACCTGGTGGAATAATTGTTCCTCCTCTTCACTCCATCTTTGTGCGACTTGCTCTCCCATGTCACTAAATCCTAGCTCCTCAAATCTCTTTGGCCCGATTGTCTTTATAAGTTTTTCTCTTGCTTCCAAAATGTGCTGCCTGACACATCTAACAGAATCCTCATCTTCACAGCTGCAATCAGTTCTACCAATTCCAACTATGCAACTAGTGTCGGCAGATGAATCAGAATCAGGCATTGGAATAACACAGGTCCCCATCAGTCGTTTCTCATCCTCAAGGTCAGAGTTTGAAACTGCTTCAGATGTATCTAAATTATTTGAATTATTATTGGTTCCCTGTGCACCCCACGGTGGAACATCAGCTTGATGCTCTGGTCCAATGGAGACAGACTTCCGAGGAGGGTGATCCAAAAGAAAAGAATAAATATCCTCAGATTGAGCCAATGTCCTTATTGGACGTTCAGGATTGAAGCAGTCCGCGAAGGATCCATGAAATGGTGCTTCCAACAGAGAATCTTCTTCACTGGTACTGCTTGTGGTCCATGAGGAGATGGTGAAGCTTCCAGGCGCACTGGTTTCAACATCCTCACCACCTTTACGAAGATCAGAAAATATGTCATCAGAAAGCTTCTCTTCACCTTTATCATTGTCTTTTGCCCATCCATTCTCTACCAATTAAAAATCAGAACTTTTCTCAAGAGTTCAAATCAAAATGAAAAACGAAAACCAGCTGATTAGGCTGTCTTTATGTGACCAAAAATAGTTATAAAGAAAAATGAGAAACAAGTGAAAAACGCTATGATTTGAGTTTGTTTGACATTCAATTATCAAACGTCTTAGAAAAACTCACAAAAATTGATTAGGACAGACAAACAAAATTTTCCCTCTGAGGTTCGACATATATTTACAGAGACTACGGTCCCTCACCTAAAGTCTGCACATCTTCAGGAAAAACAGATTCTGAAAAAGAAACTAGCTCTTTACTGTGCCCCACTTGTCTTGGGTGCTTGAAAGAAACAAATATTTGCTCATCATCAAGAGGCCGTTTTTGTACCATATTAAACTGCAGGGCAGAGATAAAATAAGTTTAGATAAAATGCAAAAGAAACTCCTAAAACTTCTTAATACCATCATAAACCGTGAAGCCAGCACCTATGTTTCTATATATCTAAAAGAAAGCACAAGTGAAGTATCTCTAGTACATATTTTCAGCTAAAATTACTCAAGCTAAATGATTGTCTAACTCTACCATGATTCTATCCCTCAGATAGCAAAGACAGTACATGCGCGTTTCATTTGAATGAAACTAAGCAGGACCTCATCCAAAACATACCATTACAATTACAAATCAATGCTATCTTAACTTGCAAACTGACATAAACCCATCTTTAACAGTTTAGAGTCTGCATAAACTAAACGCTTTCAATAAACAAAGCAAACTCAAACAGATCCAGCAAACCCAAATAGGCTTACCAAAAGATTTTAATTCAGTAAACACAACTATCTGCTAAAAGATGTTAATTCAGCACGTCATGTATCACCATAGACATTGATACTATGTCTTTGACATATACACGCAAGAACCAGTATATATGTCAGTTAATGACACCACTACAAGTCCCTGACATAATTTTATGATAATTATAATCTAGTTAAGAATTATGAATCAATGTATGATTATAATATTCTTAAAGGGTTTGTGGCCCCATTTATTTGGGCACCCTGAGGCATAGAGGAGACATCACTAATGAAGGGCAATTTGGTAAATATGCTTGCTATTCTATTTCTAGAAAAGGGCGCCCCATTTAGCTAAAAATATGGGTGCCATATCAAAGTCCAAAAATTGAGCAAGTAATTAAAATTGATTCTAATTTTTAAGCACTAATAATTTCATAAATTAACAAAATGAATTGGTTTGTACCTCAAAAAATAGTCTTCAAGAAATGAAGCAGATCGCTGAATTGGAAGATAAAAGCTCAATTCGAAACGCAACCAAAGGGCAAAACTGTTTTACTTGAATGAATCTGAACTTTTCCCAACCTAATTTAAGAAAATAAAGAAAAGCCCTAAAATCTTGAAAACCCTAACCCTAGATGTTCAATTTTCGTCGAAATCTCAAAAATTGCATCTGATCAACGGACAAATACAGCAGCTGTGTGATAGAAAAACCTCAAAGGCTAATAGATCTATGGATTAATTCAGCCTAAATGGATCAAAACCCAGAAATCAGAAAACCTAAACATCCAAAAGAATTCAAAAGAATTTACGGAATCCGAAAAAATTGAGAACGGAAATCGCTAATCCAAAAAATGGTTTCTTAGATCTACGATCGCAGAAGAAGATCGAACAATTTCTGAAACCCTAACCCTAGAATCGGATTGGGAACACGGCTATAGTTGAAATTGGGATCGAACGATAGGGGAGATAACGAATTAATCGAATCTAATCTCAATTTCGGAATTGAGACGAAAGATCAAGATGGAATCGGGGGAAAAAATTATTGAGATCGAAAAAGAGGCGGCGATTGAAGAAAAGGGGCAAAGTAGGGTTAGCCTTTTTTGTAAGTGGCTGTCCGAGGACAGAAATAACGAAAAGAGACACGTGTCTATTCCAAAATTACGGAAAATACCCCTCCGAATACGGGAAGAGATTGGACGTAGAGACAGACAAGCTCTACAAATGAGGTCTAATGAAGGGTGGTGTGGTGATTTGGAATTTTATATTAGCCTCGGGTGAGTGTGACACGTGGCATTTGGTTAGTGGAAAGTGGCCAGGACAACTAAGCTTTCAAATTTGTCTCTTGCCTTTTTCGGTGCTTATGTGATTTTATTTGTGGATAAAATACAACACATAAAGTGACCTAGATCTTTACCTTATCATGAAAGTAGTCTCTTTGCAAGCACTTCCGCGTTTGCAAGAGGTTTTTTATTTATTTATTTATTTATAAATTTAAAATTTATTTAAGAATTAAAAAATATAATAGATAATTGTATTTTATAAAAATATGATTTATTATCTTTTTTTTTAAATTTTAATTTTTTTAAATATAAAAAGGTGTGAATTTATCATATTATCATCCTTTAATTAATAATTTCAATTTTTAATGTTTGCATTAACCAATGACATTTTCTTATATTTTAAATGTTTTACCATTCTCTACCTTTTGCTTTATATATATAGATTAAGACAATTATGGTACTCGGACCAAAAAAGAAAAAAGGAAAAAAGAGAGACAATGATGGTATAAAAGTTGTCTTTTACCTTTAGAACACGGTCTTTGCCATTCAATGAGAAAATTGGATTTCGGTTTTTTATTGATTAATTGTGTATTTTTGCTCTAATGCTTACAATCGACAAATCTTTCGATTTTGAATTTTGTTTTAAAATAAAATATTTTCGTTATTAGAGCTCCAAAATAAAGTTTATGATGGGCTATTTTGATTAATTAGTCCCTAGTCAGGGGCGGATCTTAAGCCAGGGCAGGGTAGGCTACCGCCTACCCAAAAATATTTCACTAAAAAAAAAACCTATATATAAGCTATGTAATTGATATTCATTCCATGTGTTGGTATACACTCTTGCCTACCAAATCCATATAAAACCCACAGCACAAGCCCACTCAAACTTTAAAAAATTGAAAAAAAAATTATAACCAGCCAGCCCATCTTATGAATGGCCCAATCAAACTTTAATAAAAGAAAGAATATAACTTAAGCAGCCAAATGGTGGTTGTGCAGTGCAATTCCAGACAGAGTCGGGAGAGCTTCTTCTCAATGCAAGTCTTGGCTGTGCTGTGCAATCGTGGACACTGGACAACCTCTTCTCTTCTCTTCTCATATACAAGGAAACAAGTATTCTTCTTAATCTCTTCTCTTTAATTATCTTCTTCTATTGGGTTATTCCTAAAATAAATGTATGCATCTTAGTTTTAATTTTAATTTGAAATTGAGTTTTCTAGGGTTTAATTAGGAATGAAATATAATTTGGGGATTTTGTTGAAATTAATTAGGTCTTTGATTTTAAGAATTTTGTTGAGATGTTTGATTTGATGTTGGCATTGTTGAGATATTTGATTTGATTCAGTTGGTGTTGACTCTTCCTGTTTCTACAGCAACAACGGAATGAGCTTTTTCATGTATGAGAATTATTAAGAATAGACTTCGAAGCACCATAACTGATGAATTCCTTGCTGATTGCATGATTCTCCACACTGAAAGAGAGTTTGCTAATAGTATCGATAATGAAGAGATAATTGAA